ATTTCCCTTTAATAAAACTGGCTTCTCTAAATCTAAACGGCCGATTGCGCTTTGGAGACTGGCAGCGGTAAAACACACGAAGCGCCTAACGGCGAGCCAGACGAGCCAAGTCGAAGGCCTACTCCTCCGTAAGCAAGCTGGTTGAATGTCATTTATTGTATGTTTGCAAAAATTGTCCCCGGTATTATTACCATTTTAATTACAAACAAAACGTCAATATTGACTTACATTACAAAGAGTGAAAAATGTAGACCCTTCCGTATAACGGCAAGTAGTCTACCTTTCAAAAAGGGAACTGGTTGTGAAATCATAAAGAATATCGATACGTCCCGTACCGGTCGCTCGTTTGTGTTGTTCTTTGTTTTTTTGGACTTCTATATTTTTTTTTTCACTTTAATCTTATTTAACTTTAACATCGTTATATTGATAACACACCCCAAGTAAATTATTTAGTCAGCTCTTCTACTAGGTCTGGTCGTAGATTCTGGACGTTTTAGCATTTAAAAGATCCCCTCCGGGGGGTTTGGGAAGCACGGTAAAGCAGGCACCCGCGCGTAAAAAGTCCTGTTAGAGAATAACCCGGAGTCCGGTAGACATTTATCAGGGGGTTGAAATTACAGTACGTGACTCTTTGTAATTTGTTTGAAAAAAAAAAGAATTTCCCTGGCTTTCCCAATTTTTACGATTAATGTTTGGGAGTTTAGAGTATTGTCGGTCTTGGGGCTCGGGATACGTCCTTATCACACAACATCAGTGCCTATGTATTTACCCTCAGTATAGACGTCAAGATCAGGGGTGTTATTTAGCTACTAATGTACGTACGTCGTCGTCCCCCACGTCACATCGTCCCCCGCGGAGTGCTCCTCATTTCGTCCCACTGCAGGTAGGTTCCTGTCAATATTGCTTGACTTAGTCTTAGTAGTCGAAGTGACCAGAGTGAGCGCCGGTAAGGACCCGAACACCATTGAAATACAGCTGACAAGAAGCCCCAAACACCTTTATATACGGCGAGCTTACAGCTTATGGTCTTGGTCGTCTCGGTCCTTACTCCAGTTGACCCCCCCCTTTATTTGTTCCTGATTCCCCAAACCCAACCAAGTTATGTTTCATAGAAAAACTAAAAAGTATTTCCAAGGGATTAATCATGACAAGGAAAGTAGTTTTATTAAATCCAGGTCTATATATGTTTTGTACAGAGACTTGCACAAGACCGAATTTATTGATGGTTTGTTCTAGTAACATCGTAAGGGGGTATTAGGGGGAGACAATAGTCGGGACAAAGGTCTTCACGATTAAGAGACAGACAATGAAATCTACTTTTATCCCTCGGTGAGGGGTGCGGAGAGACTCTCTGGGTAAACCAATTTTCTCTCCTCCCCTATGAGTTACCACGGAACCTCCTTAAGTCCACTATTCCACCCCCCCCATGGAACTTAACCACTAACCGATTCCAAGTGTGTTCGGTTTTTTAGCAATACTGAGTGATGTTCACCGATTATAGTTCTAGTCGAGTCAAAAAGTCTGTCCAAAAATTATATTTACCCTAGTCCTGTTTTTCCTCGTTCTGGAAAAAAGGACTTTGAAAGTCTTAGAGAAATGTGTCCCCTGGGTGTACCAACTACAATCTTTTACTGTACTTTTGTTCACCTAAAAAAAGTATTACCACTGCGAAATTTACGTAAAACAGTTGGTGGTCTGAGGAAGGAGCGGCATGCGGTACACTCCTCCCCTACACATAGGAGGAGCAATGAGAGGCTACAATACGTTACGGTAGCTTCAGTTGCGCCACTTCTGTGACAGACAAGAAGAGTATGTGACAGACAAGAATAGTCAATTCTAATGTCTAACACTTAATGTGGAGAAAGATATGTCATGTATGGGTTGATTGTGCGTTGATCTGTTGGTAATGCCTCTGGGTTCCGGTGGGCATGTAAACCAATGCATAATGCTGCGCTATACTTTGTGGCCTCACCCAGTTGCATAGCGACACTTATTGTTTAGGTATCTTTTAATAAGCAGGTAGTCATATCATTATCTAGAACTAGCTGGATCTGATCGATATGGACATAAACGCGAGTGAAGTCTAATCTGACTGGAGAGAGAGATCAGCTGCTGCTGACGAGTCGACACGCAGCTCTGCATGATCACATGCAGCGGTGAGCGGACAAAACACACACTTCAGGTTAGAATATCACACGTAGCTATTTTAATTACCTCTCAAATTACCTAAACTAGTTATAGATATGTTTAGTTTTACTGTCGGGTCACTCATTACTGATCCGCGAGCTGCATGATACTGGCATAATAGACTGCCCGATCGGGCAACCAGCAGGTGAGGCTTCATTGCCCGAGTTAAATACTAGATGGCCCCGGGCCATTGGGCAGTCCTTAATGTCGAGCCCTGGTTCTTAGAGAGAAAAAGAGTGTTTTTTTATTGTTATTATTTTTCTATTTTCCCTCAAGTTAGATCTTTTAACCTACTTCAGTTTTTTTATCATAATATTTCTTTCTGAATTGTAACCCTTTAAATGCCAGTTTTTAAATAATCCCACTGTTGATGAATTATAATTGTCTGTGTTTTTAATGCCAGGGAGATTTTTTTCACAGTTTGGGATATGCCTAATTTAAAACAGGACAGCGGCATGTCCCAATAGGCACCACATTCCTGAGCATTAGAAACAAGCTCAATCTTGTGGAAAACAGTTACAAATTAAAAATATGATGCCAGAACTTTAGATTGTGATGATTTAAAGCCCGGGTATCAAATAATTGGGTGTCAACGGGGGGGGGGTTCTGATTGTCTCTTTGTTGGCTACACAGTTAAATTAAAATGTATGCAATATGCATCAATGACGCATCGACAATTATAATCAAATGAAAGAGCGAAAATGTCCTGATGCATAGAGGTTAACTCCCCGCTCTTGATAGTCTTAACCAGTTATCTGTCCTTTTCCAGGGACCAGTTTGACTCCCCCTCCATCACGACTCTCGGAGCGAATATGGTGATTCCGGGTCTGGAGGAAGGTTTGAGAGGCATGTGTGTGGGCGAGAGGAGGGAGGTGGTCGTTCCACCACACTGGGGACATGGTGAAAATGGAGGTCAGTATGAACTTCACTCTAAACACACTTTTCTTTTTACCCCAACTCATATTTCCTCTGCTCTGCTTTTGTTCACAAGCTGGTGATGTTCCCGGGAGCGCCGTGCTCTTCTTCGAGCTGGAGCTAGTGAAGCTGCAGAAAGGTATTCCGGAAGGCTTCATGTTTGTGTGGCTGGGGGACAGCCCAGACCCCCTCTTTCCTGCCATGGATCTCAATGGTGACAAAGAGGTCCCTCTAGAGGAGGTAAGAGTAACTGAATCCATCCAGCCTGGATATACACAGTGAAAAGGTTTTAACAACCATCTCCTGTTTCCTCCAGTTTTCGGCCTTCATCATGCTCCAGGTTAAGGAGGCCAAAGGTCGTCTGCGGCCAGGGTTTGATGCCGGCACCATCATTCAGGACATGTTCAATAACCAGGACTTAAATAAAGACGGGAAGATTATAGAAGATGAACTGAAACTTCAGGGGGAGTCTCAACAAGTGAGACGAGACGAGCTGTAAATGGGACGTTCTGTATTGTATTGGTGGAGAGGAACAGGCAGGCAGTGGCTGAAGTCATATGAGAATCTGTCCTGCAACTATTTTGAAAATGCTTCGGAGATAGAAACATTGTTGAGCCTTTTAAGGCAGTCCTACTTAACTTGGTTTTATTAAAATAATGTGTGAACATGAAACCGGTGTGAAAATGTGAAAGGAAGAACAATTGTCTGTAGTGAAATTGTGTTCTGTTGAACTCGGCAAATTTGATATCTTTCCATTTACAAACCCTAAAAAGCATTTGGGCTGGGCCCCTCTTCCAGAATATAACTTTATTAAATACGAAATCAATGCCTCATCTAAACATGATGAAAACACACTTGATTGTACAGATTATGTTGGAGTAGCTTTTTTTGTATAATATCAGAAGGTTTGTTATATAAAATGTTCTATCAAAATGTGTTGTGAAACATAAAATAAACTGTTTTGTAGTAAAAGGAAACTTTATTTCACACAATCATAATACATTTTTCAGTTTGATTTGACAGACAACAGTGTAGAAATGGAGGAGATAGAGGTATGACATGTGTGACATAGGTTCCATGGACAGAATCAAACTACATTTATTTTATTTCAGAATGACTGAACATGGCATATTATCCACATACGAAAAATGAATTATTATTAAACTGGTTATTGAATAAAAAAAAAAGTGTTTGTTGCAGTGCACACTATTGAATCAACCGTTGTTAAAATGACAGAGGGTTACTTCATGTAAACACACTAAGTCATGATAATCTTAATACCAACACTTATGAGATAGATGTTAGTCATTTTAAATACGTTGACCTTTCAGTGCACTACACCACATTTAAAAAATGACTATTTATTTTAAGCTTAAAATCAGATGTATTTGCCAGAGTTAACCCCTTATAATGTTAACAAAAACTTGACACTGAAAGAAAACGCTTTTGAAAAAGATCAAGTTTCAAGTTTGTATTAGCTGGTAAAGAGCTTATTGTAAGGAATTGGTTTCAAACCAGATGTCAAATGCTGCCATTTATGTTGTGCGTTTTTTCCCTTTATCATGACATCCTATATGAAGACAAAAACAGACCCACTAACAAAAACAATATTATCTTATTTCTTCCCACACACACACACACACACACACACACACACACACACACACACACACACACACACACACACACACACACACACACACACACACACACACACACACACAGTGAGCTGTGTCTGTAAACTGGACTTGTGTAGAGTTTTGTAAAACAATCGTGTAACTTTCGAAATAAGCCTTCCACTGGCACCTTCTGAGCTTCAGCTGATGGCACTGGAGCGTACAATAGAAAACAGCAGTGCTCACTTTACTTATTGCCCGTCAGGTGGAGCATTATGGCATTGGGGACTTCCAGGGTCTCGTCTTGTACCAACACTATGTCATACGAGTCCAAGTAAGACTTCTTCCTCTCCTCCACCTGAGGAGAAAAAGGAGATGTGAAAAAAAACATAAAAGCTACATTAACAAAATGATATACAAACAATTAAAGAGAGACATTTAGTTTTTAAAAGTTTCTCCATCAATTAGTATCACCAGTGTCCAAATTCATCCCACCATACAGTCATTAAATAACATGATTTCGTACAAATGTATGCTTATTGTTCTCTTAGAAGTGAAATGTGAGTGTTCATCTCGAGACAGCAGGTGATCACAATTCTTTGTAGCAGTTAAGGAGAAATGATTATGAGTAAGGTGCGAAAACAGAATGTACACAATGCCCTGAATGTAAACATGTCATAAATATAAAGTGGTAACCATGTGGTCATTTTGATCTCAAAGGTTTAATGTCCTATTCACAACTACAGTCTAGTTGTGTAATGACAAACTTGGGTCAAAGTCAACAATGCAATATAAATACAGTATACACAACAAGACATACAAAATGAATACAGAAAAAGAATACAAAATGCAAGCTCAGGAGATGAGCAGTCGTATGGCCTGTGGGATAAACTGTCCCCGTCTGGTGCTGTATAAAAGCTGTGTGTGAGATTGTATTTACCTTGTCGTTAAGGAAGCCGATCTTGAGGATGTTCTCCATGTCCTGCACCCCGTCGGCCATGGTCAGATCTCCCAGAGAGTCTCCCAGCAGGAGCACGTTGGGGCGCGTCCGCAGCTCCTGGAAATGACCGGTGTTCAGCAGAGCGCCTTCCCGTTTGTTGTAGATGTGGATCAGCTCTCCCTTGAAAGCCTTCAACAATCCCTGTAGCAGCAGATAAAGAGTCAAATACATCAAGTCAATCCCTGGTGCGTATTTTGAGGTGTGGATACTCACAGACTCATCGAAGTCCATGTAGTTGGAGAAGACTTTGACGTTGGAGTGGAAGACTCCGGCCTGGCGGATGACCTCTTCTAGGATGTCTCCAATTCCAGCAGAGAAGATGAGGAGGGGGATGCTGTGCTCCTGCAGGTGGTCGAAGAGGAGCTGGTAGCCCTCCCTGATGAAAGAACAACTGTTAATACACGTCTTTTTCAACATGTAGACTATTAAATAGATGTTCTGGTCTTCTGAGGGATCACTCTCTCTGACCTCAGCATGGCGTCAGAATCCCGCACCGCCGTGGCCAGCAGGTCTTTCCTAATCTTCTGCTGCACCAGGATTTTGTGAGCTTTAGTCCACCTGTGAGATATAGGCGGGTGACTCAGTTGTATTAACACATTAAAGTAAGGAATATGATATTTTGAGTAAAAGGTGTGTTAGATACTCACCATTCCACCATCAGGGGCAGCTTTTCTGCTATTGATCGTGCCGAGTCGATCTCTATAGGGTAGTATGTGTCGAGCAGAACCTTCAGCTGACAGAGACAGGACAATACTTAGAACACTGTAACAGTTAGGAAACTACTGCTTTTTACCCAATGAGAAATTAGAAATAATTGTCAGTTTACAACTTCTTTCTGTAAGATAATATCCTAGGGATTCTGGAATGTGTTTCTTTCTGTGTTTAAAATGCTGATAATGTCCAAACACTCTTAAAATTAATATATACACCCAAATAATAAGCAATATTTGGTCTTACTGGGTAAAAAAAAGCAGCATATTTTAAAGAATTGTGCTTGTTTGTACTAAGGTAATCTGCTTCTTAAGATGTAAACATTTTTACTTAAGATAAAAAAGGCAAATATGCATATATTTCACTTGCAATATCTAACTATTTGAACATGCATTAACTGCATTGCGTCTCCGATGAGGCTTGCAGTTGCAGAAAAATATATTGGAAGTTTATTTAAAGACAATAGTCCTACAAATGGAAACAATTATTTTTGCACTAATGGCTCACTCCTACCTCTTCTCTGCATTCATTGGAGATAAGATTGCTGTTGTCAAGAATATCTGAAGAATAAAATCAGAGACAAAATGTCTAAAACATTTGGCCAAGACCAACCTTTGAATGCATGAAAACCCCAAACTACATCTGGCACTTACTGTGACATGTAGGGCACCTTTTGCCCTTGAATGCAAATCTTGTCAGAGTCATGTCAAAATCTGCGATCACCTGAATAGAATAGGAATAGAAATAGAATATCACACTTCTTCACATTGCACGTGTAATTTAGGGCAAACACTTGGTAGAAGTGGATATGTACCTGCACGGTGTTGGAGCCAGCCTTCACCATGGACTGCAGGATCTCCTCCACCCTCTGAGGGTCCCTCATACACACCGAGGGGTTGGACAACTCTGGAATCTGAGCATTGAATACATATGCAGGTTAGTTTAAACGTCATAAGAGAAAGTGGTTAGACAATGTCTTACACAAGCAAACCACAATGTCCCCCAGACAGCTGTTTTAACGCACACCATTTGCCAGTAGTACCAAACATTGACACTATAGACAAATAATAATTGAATGTAGTGTTATAGACGATGCAGCTAACAAAGAGGAACATAAGCTAATATTAGCCACAGTGGTGACAACAGCCATGCTAGGTACGTTTAGCTGACCTAGCTAGCTAGTATGCAAGTTTGTTGCTTTTCTTTTTAGTGCATGGCACCCTAACAACTTTAACTTAAAACATATGATTACCATTGTCTGGATATAGGTTGCTGCTCAGTTAATGTTGATAAAAGATGTTTCAACAGCTGCCAGTCTCCGTTGATAAGTCCCCTTAATGTTAATGTTGCCACGGGAGAGCGAGCTAAAGAATCATCTGACATCTGCTGATAGAGCGGTGATGCTGCCTTCCGGTACTGACCAAAGTGTCGGTATTTTTTTTCAAGTGACTAAAACAATGTGGTGAACAGTAATGTTTTGTTCCCCATTGCTGAAATGTAACGTGTACTAGGAGCGATGAATGGAAAACATATTACAGAAAATATATAAAGATACTAATAACATTTATTTTGCGACCTAAAGATTCCAAGCATTGATTTCCGTACAAGTACGAGTTTTATGGTTAACACGTAAATGCATCACCACCACTTGTATAATACGAAGTGGGACGTCATGTATTCCTCCACCCAGGGCAAAGGCACAGAGAGAAGGTTCCCACTTGAATATCGTAAAACGTTATACAAATGTCATTACATTGTAATACAATATTAGTGAAGTGTGTTTAAGTGAAAAGGTTATTGTATAGTATTTCATAAAAATGCAATAGAAAGCCAAGAAGGTCATTAGAAATCTCTGAATTCAGAATATAGTATATCAAAACAAATTCATAGTAAAATATGTAATGAGAAATATTGTAACAAAAACAACACAGAATATTATGCAATGCAAATCATAGTATAGTATGTGATAGAATATTAATTTAAAATGTCTTAGAACCATGTCCTGATAGTATTCAGGACATGGTTCTATTTAGCCTATACTATTCAATGAATAGTAGGCTAAATAAAAAACAATTACCGTGTATTTGGTAATGCAGAATCCCACAATTTAACAAAGTTCAACTGAAACACTCTTTTATGCACCAGTCAATCCTAAAATTAAATATGGAGATGAATCCTTTAACAAGTGTATGTTGACGGGTCTTAATTGTTATGTTATAAAATGTATGCATTATTGTTTTTACAGTCTTTGTTGATGTTGCGAATGGAAATACTGTGTTGCAAGAAAAAAGAATACACACTCGATTCAACAATAAAGTATTATCCTCATACTCTTGAACAAGTCCAACTTAATATTAATACACTTTAACCATTAACAACCATTTGTTTTACAAAACAACTTTAATTGCAAGTGATGACCTTGCATTTCTTACATCCAATATAAGCACACAATGTCAGAACCATCACATGCGAAGCAAATTACATAGCATATCCCACTTCATCTTTACAGTGCTATTTATATTGGTCATAAAGTGGAAATGAATATCATTTCTGCGCTCTGTAACCTTTATGCTGTAATAAGCGCTGCAAGGACAGCGGGAATCTCTGAATGTCAGTCACAACACATTTATATAACAATCTGGTTAGCTTGGTCTATAAGTCGGATTCTTTTTCAACTTATTTGTAAGACTTTTAGGAGGATGAGAGGAGACCACAGAACAACATAGCAGTTCTCTAATATACACCCAACTGTAAGGGAAGTACAATAATAAGGTTTATCATGACATTTAATGTTGGAAACAAATCTGCAGATAATGATAACGTTTTTATTTTTAAAAGAAGATCAAAACGTACTGAGTTTGCTGGCCAAAACAAAGCTTTTCCATTTTACAATCACCTTGTCTGATAAGAAACAAATTAAATAAGTAAAGTCAAAGTGCGGTGGCAACTTAAATCCCTATGCTTCTGTAAGACTTAAACAATTGGATGTCAAAAAGTGCAGTTGTAGAGAAACTCCTCTCTGCAAACACTAATCATACTCCCCCACTCGCAGAAATATACATTTTCAATGTATTTTTCTCGAGTGAATGAGAATATACTGAGCAATGGATTTCCAAAGTGCAAATGAAAGGAATGATTGAGCCATTGCCAGTGATGGACACCAAACGCAGTGGCTAAATATATATTAAACGTTAAGATAAATCAAGGGATTCGCTTCATTCAATCTTATCACATCTTTTCAACATCACAGTTTTCTCATCATTTCCCCACCTCAGAAACCATGAGATAAATGACTAGTTTTCAAATATTAGATGAGCAACACAAATGAATTGATATTAGACACACTCGGTACAAACGTTGAAGGGAAACTGTAATCCAAAAGTAAACTAGTCTATGGGATTTTGACAGCCTTTCTTAAGGAATTAACATGTAATTGTTGAGGCTGCACTTTAACAAGCAGAGCAGTTCTAATAAAGCAGTCATGATATATAAGTTAGATGTAAGACATTTGGACAGATGTACTACTTGCATGAGGAGATTGTCACAGTGTTAAAATGGAATGAGACTTCATTAAGCGAGTTGGATTGAATGTAGGAATGCAGTTATTGGCAATGTCACATAGCCTACCTAGTACAGGCATACCATTAAGGAATGTAAAATATCCATATAAATGTTTACATATACAGCTTTACCCTATGTATGTACAAACAGATAAACGGCACCCATGCCAACATTGACAAAGGGATTTTCAGTTGTTGGCTGCTATAGTATATAACACTCTTATTCACATGTTTACATTCCCCTTGTTCCTCCTCACAGACCACCAGACATCTGTCTAAACACTTCACGGCTTTCCACAAATCAGCCATTAACACGACACAACACAGCATGGGAGCTGATGGCACGAGTTCAGTTTCATGTAATCCAGTATGATAGCCAAACAAGACCCACTGCAGGATGTTATGAATGAGAGGGAGTCAATGAAGATGGCTTTAATGGAGATAATGTTTGCAGTGTATCCTCCGCTAAATCATGTCGTTTTTAAATTAAGCATCCGCCGACTTGCTCAGCACTCTATCTGTGACTGGAGCTGCCGGCGTAAGGTGAGCGTGCGCCGGTGAAGCTGCTGCATCTGCTGCATGCGGTCTCGCTGGCGGGCCAGGTTCTGGGGCATGGGGTAGCGCTGGCAGCCGTACAGGAAGCGATAGGGGATACGAACATGGCAGGCGGTGGCTCGGCAGCGAGGCTGAGGCATGGGCGGCAGCAGCATCCATCGTTTCCTCTCTGCACAGTAGCGGTAAGCCTCCTTGCGGTACTGCTTGTCCACATCGTCACTGTTCTTCCAGCCTCCGATGATGAAGACGTCCTCATCGAAGTGGCAGATGGCAGCACCCTCGATGCTGGTGACCTCTGGTGGCAGGCTCTCCAGGATCTCATCAGAGATGTGCCCACTGATCTTTTGCTTGGCAACCTCATCCCGCACCGTGTAGCTCTTGGGGCAGCAGGAGGCCGTGTGGTAGAAGTTAGTAGAAGCCACAGCCATCTGGAAGATGCAATAGTTGTCAATAAGTGGCAAGGAGTCAACGTCTTGCCACTGGCGGCTCTCTGTGTCATAGCGCGTGGTCACCGTCTTTAGTCCATCCTCATTATCCGTATCGACAGGTGTGCGTGCCATGACGTACACATAGCGGTCCTCCACACTCACTGCCTTCACATCCCGCAGGATTTTGGGAGCTGATTCCAGATTGTGCCACTTGTCCTGCTCTGGCTCGTATATACTGACGTCTTTGAAACCTGGACTGAAGTTACCATGGCCACCGATGCTGTACAGTATATCTTTTATACAGGTGAGGCCAAATGAGTGCTTGCGTGTGGTCAGGTTGCTCACCTGCTCCCAGGTGTTGCGATTAGGATTGTACCGCTCTACGGTCTTAGCGAAGCCAGGCTCCATAGAACCAGCTACGTAGACGTGGGACTCTGTGGCGGCGATGGCGTGGCCGTCCAAGTGGTTGTGGATGTGAGGCAGGTTGACCCAACGGTCCTCATAAATGAAGTAGCCCACACACTCACTCAGGTAGTCCCCTCCTTCTGACACACCGCCTACCACCATGATTACATCCATATTCTGGCCAAAGCGAGGCTGAAAGGAGGCCATGTGGGAAGACCAGAACTCCATATCCGTTGACTTGAGGTTCTCAAAGCGAATAGCGTGACCCTCCACGGCCTCTGACACCAGCCGTAGGCAGGCCTCATTGCTGGACACCAGCAGCTCAGTTTTCACCACCCTGGTCAGATAGGTGGGCTTGATTTGAGGCAGCCTCAGGAGACGGAACAGCTCCTCAAAGTAGCGGCTGCGGTCCTCTGGGTTCTTCTGCACCCACTTCACCACAGCCTCAAAAAGCACCTCCTCAGAATCCACTGTGATCTCTGCATCCGACAGCCAGTCACGAACCAGGTGAAAGGGCAACGTGTAGAACTCGTCATCCTGGATGACCTTGTGGAAGTTGCGACGGATCATGTCTGCAGCCCGTAGAGCCAGCTGGTCCAAGGTGTACATGTGGGCTAGACTGTGCACCGCCACGCAGTTGGTCAGGCTCAGCTTCTTCTTGAGGAACTCCCCACAGAAGTCCTTCAGCTGCAACAAGAGGAACCTAATACAGAACCAACAAAGAGAATACAGTATAGGATGTCATCAGAATGAACTGTTCCTGTAACTAGATAATACTAATCTGTTTCCACCAGTTGGGCCAGGCAAGTCTTGCTTTCTGCAAGCAGAGCACAAAACAACAATTGTTTTGGACAACAGAGCAGCCACAAAAGGCCTCATGTTAACCTTCTGAGGTCCATCAGATTTAAAACCCATCTCTATTGTTATAATATTTATACTTATCCTGACATACATACCTGACCACAATCTAAATTGTATTAGTTTGTATTTAATGATGTTGTTTGTGCATGGCTGTTTGTGTATTAGTATACCATTTGCTTCCATTTTAAATGATATACTTTTATTAATTGACTTGTATTCCCTTATCTATGGCTGTGTTTAAACCTCGTTGTAAAGCACTCTGGATATGGTTTGTGGTTTTTAAATGTGCTCAATCAATGAACCTGACATGTAAAAACATCATTGTAAACATCATACCTGTCAGCTAGCTCCAATACTTCATGTACATTGCAGGTGCTAACGCGTATTTCCCCTGTGTACATGTACTGGATGACACTCTGCACCGTATCCGGGTCTGGCCCCAGCTCTGAGCTCCATTCCTTCATCTCTACACGTCCGGACAGGGACTCGGAGAACTGTCCTCCCAGCAGGGGGGTGAAATAATCTGTGGCCGCAGCCAGGACGGACCTGTGGGCTGAAAACTCGCAGCTCTGCACGCTCCCGCTAGCCGCCCCGCTGCTGAAGGCCAGCGTCACGTCACAGAACAAGCCCTGCTTCCGCTGCTCGTTCTGCCGCCGAGACAGCTCTGAGCAGTGGGAGGAGGAGGTGAAGTCCTCGGACTCCTCGGCGTCCCCGTCTCCGGCAAGGGCGCTGGGTGTGCTGGTGCCGCCGGTAACGCTGCTCCTGGCTGAGTCCTCCGGGTTCGGGGCCGCCGCTGCCATCGTGCTGCCGGCTCTGGAGGTGAGCAGTGGGGGAAAATGAAGTAAACTAGTGCAGGAGAGAAGGCGACATACGCAGCCACACATACATGGAGTCTATGGTCAAAACAGTCAACGACAGTGAAGCGCGTTTCGTATTAGGAGCTTTATATCCTCGATTAAGAGGAGAACATGGGTAGTTTATAAAAAGTCATTCATATAACACATCGTCCTTTGAAACTGCAATATTGTGATGACCATATTCTGGTCTTCAATTAAACAAATGGTTAATTTTTATATCAAAATAGTAGTAGATTTAAAACAAAACAACAAGGATTATGCAACACGTACACAGCTAAATGTAAATATTAATATTTAAATATCTGTGCACAATGTCTAGGGTATTAACCTATATTTAGAAAGGCATTACCATTCAAACACAAGCTAAAACATAATTACTTTACCTTTCTTATGTCAAAGAGATTAAAGCTTTGGTAAACGACGAATACGGAACCAACTTCGGTTTGGTAAACACAGCTATAATCCCTGACATGCGCAGTGGGTGAAAGGCGTGACCTCGTCGTTGACGTCAGGGGCAGTTCCCTCTGCTGAACGGAGCTCTGATTTGCACATGGTGTAAAACTTGCATTTACACTTATAGTTGCCTTGGCAAAGGGAAAGGGAAGGTCGAACCACTCAAGCTTGCAATAAATCTTAGTATATTGCATTGTTTAAATCTGCTGCTATATATTGAGTTTGTTTATTGCCTTTTCGGACTGATTTTAAAAAAAACATATAAAACACTTTAACATACTCTAATTCAGACAGAATAAGCAGGCAACTCATTGCAGATTTTTGACTTGTAATGGCAGGAAAAGCCCAAGCGTAATTAATAATGGCTGTGTGGTTACGTGTCCTAGCAATTGGGCCTGATGCACAATGGCATTTTTTCCCTAAGGGCACACCAACATGGTTTGCAATCATTATTGTCAAATTAGTAGTAATTCAATGTAATAAAGTGCTTATCAAACATAATTCCTTAAACCTGACACATGCGCTCACTTGCAAATGTTACACTATATTTGAAAGATAACACTGAACACACATTGTATTATTTATTACATTACATTAATGACATTTATTTTACTCAATTGCACAGTTGTCAACTAACAAAAAATCAGTACAGAGGCACATTCAGTTCACATTGAGAGAGTTAAGGACATACACTTTGCAACAACACTGTTGAGGTTATTAGTTGTCAGAAGATTTGTTTTACTGTTTTGTTACATTCGTACTGGTGATGGCTGTCAAAGATTCTCTTTTGGACTATGCATTTTGGGAGAATGTTTAATGTTCTTGTTTCAAAGAGAATTTAAGTTTTGTCCTGCACTCTAATGGTAATGAGCAGATTGTCTACATAAAGCTTCTTTCCAGATTGTAACCTGATCAATATTTGACACTTGTAATGTAAAATATTAACAGAGAAGTTAACAATATTAATTCCCCAAAAGATGTGAAGACATAAAATAAATGATGGTATTTAACAGATAAAATAATTTGCTGTCCTATTAAAGTGCTGAAATCAAAGTATTCTAATAACTGATGTAAGTGTAATGGAGAAAAATACTGAATATAATTATTTTCATTGTTAATTCCTCATAGAAAATCATACTATAAACACATCCTGGGGCTTTTGGCAACAATTCCCTAATCCACTCAACAAATTCAGAAAGAAAAACATTTTTATTTGTGTTATGACTAACACTCAACTTCCATTTAAACCATTTGAGAAAGTACGCCCAAATGTTCCACCAGCTGAGAGATCATTTTGCCTCCAAATGTCAACACATGCCAGGAGTGACTCATAACACGGTCCCTTTGTCACAGAACACAGCACAATGCTTGATATTTTCGACTTCAAAAATATGTAAACAAAATAATAAAATAGCATAAACTACATAATTATTGTACCATTTAATTTCACCGACAATACATCTATACATAAATAAAGCTCTGGTCTACAGTATGTGTTCCTATTACAGGCATTATTGCACTACATGCTCACCCCTTTGTGGTAAGATCATGATCTAATTGGCACGAGGAAGAGAGCTGCACAGAGACACAACAGTCTGTGAGACATGCTAGGTTAATACAACAATTATACATATTTGGGGTAAACAACATTACTTAAAAAGCCATGGATTATCCCCTTTTACTCCTTCACTTGATTTCTTTTAAAATCTCCCTCAGTTAGACCCTGATTTTGTTTTACTGGAGCTTCACAGTGTACCAGGTTTTTCTTATATTCACAGAGCTGCAGCACCGACAGGTTCCCAAAACTAAAACATACTCTTCTTTTTAACATTTGCAATTTACAGCTATAGTAATAGTAACATCTTCCCTATATAACGCCACTGTTTAGGGGTTAAGATCACGGTGTGGGCGGGGGATGAAGGTTTGGGTGACACCCTATGGTTTATACCCTCTGATCACATGGACATGTGTTCTGGCAGCACGTAGGAGATGTCATCCCAGGGGTGGCGGTACAGACCCTGCTTCAGCCTCTTCTGGTCCAGGTAGTGTCCTAAAGAAATACAAAGAGGAAGGATTATTGTAATACAGGGTAGAAGTGTTCAGAGCCTTACATACTCTGGCATATCAGTGTGTCTAAACACAGAAGTGACTCACCAATAAATCCCATGCTGCGCCCCAGGACAAAGATACCGTTCAGAGCTCCAATTTCCACAAACTCGTCAGCTTCATCCCTGTGGAGGGCATGATGGAAAACAGGGATAAGAGAGGATGCATTGAAAAGATTGTTAAATACAATATCGGCATAATACGTAAATCATAAGCGCATAAAAGTGCAGGATGACATGTTTAATTTAAAGGAATACTTCCAGCATAAAATAATAATTTGCATATTAATAACCCACCCAATGTTACCTTGATTTCTTGAAGAAAACTAAAACACAAATTTAGCAGCAAGCTGATGTTTTTAAATATTGTTGTTATTGATAATCACAACCCCCATTTACATAATGTTTTAAAAAAAATAAAAATTAGTTAAGTGTAGATGCATTATGGTATATCTTAATTGAACAGAGACACAGGGTGCGTAATTGATTAAAGATCAAATGCAATGTTGGAATTAGGTGTTCATTTTCTGTTTGGACAAATACTGTTTGATTTCTTGCTGTCCCTGCTTTGTTTTCAAGTATTATTTAGTTAAAGCAAGAACACAAGGATCTTATCTCCCACTACATGGCTCCAATATAAAAATGAAATTGGAATGCCTGTTTCTCAATTTTGTCTCAAATATAGTGAAGGTGTCCCTTTTTAAACAACTGTAACTGTAAAAAGACATAAAGATGTCCATATTTATTGGCTCACCTTGTAAAACCACCACAAGTCCTGAGCAGGTCCACAAAGGCCACACCAATGAAACCATCCACGTTCAGGATCAGGTTGGGTTTCTAATACAGCAAATAAACACACAGGGGGAAAAAAACATGTACGGTAATTGAAAGATGTATCATGTGACTATTTAATAAAGGCTGTGATTGGCAGGATGAAGTGATAAATCTTACTTTAGACGTGGTGATCTTCTCCACATCTAGAGCGTAGTCCAGCATCTGGGTGGAGGGGAAGTGCTGCTTCACAAAGTCCTTCAAGATCTGGACTCTCATGTCTGGATTGTTAATCTGAGCAAAAAACAGATAATTCCCTTTCAGTCTAAATCTTTATCCTCCATTCAATCTGGTTTCCCTCCTTCTCTACTTGTCCTTTACATTATATTTGTAGCCCCAACACTGGCAGTGTACTACACCCCTGTTCACTATGAAACACAATATTAAATCTAATTTTTCTACGTCTGATCACACGCTTCAGAGCCATTGGACTCACCGACTTTACTCTGTGTCCAATGCCCATGATCAGCTTGCCATCTTTTTTCATCTTGTTGACAAACTCCATGGGCAGCATGCCGCTGTCAAAAGCGTTGCTGAACTGCTTCGCTGCAGCATCCAAAGCACCCCCAAAGCGATCACCCTGAAAAGTGACAGAGAGGAACAAAGAAATGCTCAGACTCAGCTTTTGCAGTACATGTTACAGAAGAGAGATATATAAGTAATGAAAATAGAACTGCTCTGTACGGTTTTCTGTTCTGTTTTTTTACATGTGTATTTTGTTGTTCTATAAGTCTCTGAAAAAACCGAACTGAACTAAAACATGAATGACAGGTGAAATGATCTTACGATGGTTAGAAGGCCGGAGGTGAGGCTGGAGATGAGGTCTTTGCCAGCTCGAGCACAGACGATTGTGTTGTGCGCTCCAGAAACAGCAGGGCCGTGATCAGCGGTCACCATCAAACACATCTCTATGAACTGGCAGGCATATCTGGGCAACCTGCACATCAAGGGATACACAACAATGGTTTATGAGGTTTAAAGATTACTGAACTACAAAGAGTTAAGGTATAGAGGTTAACAGGCTGACCTCCTCTGGAACCAGAGAAGCCCCAGAGTTCCTCCCAGGCCTATTTCTGACTTGAAGACCTCAGTGATGGGCATGCCTGCGTAGATGAGCTCCTGACCTCTCTCATCACAGATGCTGGTCATGAAGGAAGCAGGCTTACGGATCAGTCCCAGCTCCTGCAGGGACATTTTCAGGTCATTTTAGTTTAGTCTTGCCCTCAACCGTTCACCAATGATTCATAATGTTCAGGTGTGTTCAGAGGCGTACTCACTCGTGCCCAAGAGTAATCCATCGGGACAGTAGGGGGAGGCATCTCTTCGGCTGGCACGATAACCCCTTTGGCAACAAGGTCATCATAAACAGAACTGCATGGAATCAAAACACAAAGAAGGCCCAGGAATCAGGATTATACTAACAACACTTTTGTCAAACTGATTATTTATCCAAGCACTAAAAGGAATAATAAAAGACAAAGTGCACTGACGTGATGATCTCTCCCAGCTCATCAAAGCTCTTGGGGACGAAGGCACCGGCCTCCTTCAGAGCTTTGTTCTTAGCCGATGCGGTCTCAGAGGCCTGGTTAGCACAAGCTCCTGCATGGCCAAACTGAACCTGAGGGGGGGAAAAGGAACAAAATGGGTCAGAAATATAATAAAACCATTCCGTATCCCCTTCATCTATCTTTGTTCAAAGCACTGAAAGGCACCAGACGCTGCCCTCTCACCTCTGAGGAGAACATGGTTGCACAGGTGCCAATACACCAGGACACCACTGGCTTTGTGATCCTGCCCTGTTTGATACCCTGGCAGATCTTATACTCCTCTGTGCCTCCAATCTGTAGAAGGCAGAGACAGATTCAGGATGAAGCAAATCAAATACCGTTTCAAATCTGCAGGCAACAATGTGTGTGGATCTAATCCTCACCTCTCCCAGAACTACGATCATCTTTACTCCGGGGGTGTCTTGGTAGCGCAGAACATGATCAGTAAAAACTGAGCCTGGGTATCTGGAGAAAAGTAAAAGTGTAAAGAGCAACTCAAACAAACAAGATCACATCCTGCGGGTATAAGATAGTTACATACCTGTC